CCCCCCTTACATACAAAGCTCAAAGTTAAGAGACCAACCAAAATCCTGCTGCAATGATCATCGTAAAATCTCCTCTGCTGCGCGCACACTTCCACACAGACACCCGAACAGCTCCGTGCGTAAAAGCGCACAAATTGCACTGCAGCATCCACGTTACAGTTCAAGTGCACCGGTGCTAAAGCAGGTATTGAATATGTATGCATTAGAGAAGCTGTGCATACTCACTCTCCCTTCAAGCTCCAAGCTTGTGGTCAGTCGGTCCAGATCCGAGAATGTGTAAATCAGGCACATAAAGAGGGACAGGGAGAGCGAAGGAAAAGTTTTGAATCCCTGAATGAATTTGTAGAAAGGCGGCTTAGGATCATTATGTCAGCTTTATTGAGGGCGGATTAAGCAGAGTCTAGATGCTATGCCTTGTACACGGCTCTTTCACAATGTGGGTACTGTTCGTTTTAATGGTGAACTCACACTATTTTAACACCCTCATAAGCCCTGTCTAAATATGAAGCGGTTTTAGTCATAAACATGAAAATCACACCGCCCTGGTCAACCCCATAAGCCGAGTCCCATGACTGGATGTGGACATTGATCGTGTCCTTTAGCCACCAGATCAAATGCAACCAAAGTGCTTTAATGTCTCAAAGACGCTTTCAAGCTGGCATTTGATTCTAATTCCAACACTGGACTAATGGTTTTAATTAGAGGGTTTGGAGTGTTTTAAAAGAAAAGAATCTATTAAATCAGAAAAAAGAGATGATGTCAATGGCAAATTAGTTCTTCTACCAAATATAAGGAGAGAAGGTGGCAGGCGGGGGGAGGCAGAGTTGTGCACTTCGCGTCCCGGAGGCAGGCCGAGCGAGAATACAATCACGATTTGGCTATTTTGGGGAAAAAATACGCATTTACTTTGTAAAAAGAGACAAACAAAATAACAACAAAACAAAGAGTTTAAAGAATATTTTAAAAAGGCAAGCTATTCCAAAAATAATGAGCAAATTGACTCGCTTCAATTCAAAACGTGTATTCCTGGGATGTAGTCATTGGTTGTCCATTTGTCCCTCATTTAAAGCTCCCTCCCTGCCTCCCTCTATCCCTCCCAGTCTCTGCTAAGCATCTCCAGTCTACATATCTGCTTTAGCTTTAACGAGCCTCGTTAAGATCGCAATAATATTCCACCCTCTAATTGCTCATTCCATTCAGCAGATAGACGAGCATTGGCTCGCGCCTGATGCGCGCGGTGCAGTGGGAGGGTTGCTGTGGAGATCCGAGACTCTGATAACCCCCCGTGCGTGCTGCACAAGTGGTGAAAGCCTCTCGCTACGTACTGGCTAATGATTGGCACGCTTGACAGTGATTGGCAGGGCTGCCATGACAACGCTACAACGACACCAAGAAGACCAATAGAAAAGGGAAACAAAATGTTTCAATGCTACACTCAACGGCGGATTTAGGGGGGAGATATTATGAGGCTGGTGTCATTAGGCGATAGCCATTGAATCATTCAAGCTTTTTTTTACTAGCCGTATTTTTCGGTTTTTTCCCCTTTTTCTCGGTAATTTTCTTTCTCTCTCAGGTCATTTCCATGGTTTTCAGATCCCCTTTAGAGCTTTATCCCTCCCATTTCTTCCTGCCTAACTTCGCTGATCGCCCACTGCTGCTGGCGAACAGCGCTCCTGCCGCCAGGTCTCCAGAAGACTTGTCCATGTTTCAGCTACCGACCCTCAACTTCTCCCCGGAGCAGGTGGCAAGCGTCTGCGAGACGCTGGAGGAGACCGGGGACATTGAGCGGCTGGGCCGCTTCCTCTGGTCCCTGCCGGTGGCTCCGGGAGCATGCGAGGCGATCAACAAGCACGAGTCCATCCTGCGCGCCCGCGCCGTAGTGGCGTTCCACACGGGGAACTTCAGAGACCTCTACCATATTCTGGAGAACCACAAATTCACCAAGGACTCACACGGCAAGCTGCAGGCCATGTGGCTGGAGGCTCACTATCAGGAGGCCGAGAAACTGCGCGGCCGTCCCCTCGGACCTGTCGACAAGTACCGGGTGCGGAAGAAGTTTCCGTTGCCTCGAACCATCTGGGACGGGGAGCAGAAGACGCACTGTTTCAAGGAGCGGACGCGGAGCCTACTGCGGGAATGGTACCTGCAGGACCCATATCCGAACCCGAGTAAGAAAAGGGAACTGGCTCAAGCCACTGGACTCACTCCTACACAGGTCGGGAACTGGTTTAAAAACCGGAGGCAAAGAGACAGAGCAGCGGCGGCCAAAAACAGGTTGGCGATCTTTCCCCTGTCATATCAGAAACACTTCAATGTCTACTCATTTGTGGGAAAAGTGTATTTTTATAAGAAAATGAATGTTATTGCGCGTCTGGAGAAACTATTCAGGAGAAGAGAAAGACTGCAAGTCAGGTAAAGAGAGTATAAGCTGCGGCGACATATTTGTTATGGAGCGAAATCCGGATTAACACTAAAACACACTTTTCTCTCTGCTGGAAAAATCCTTTAAAATTAAATATTACAAACTCTATTTATCTGTATCAAAATCTAGAAGGAATACATTTTATTAGACCAATCATTGAATTTTACAAAATAAAAACAAGGGACCAAAATAACATCATATTATTTAAATATTTATTTTTAAGTTTAAGATGACTGATACTGTTTGATTAAAGCAAATATTTCTCTTGATTTAAAATAGAACTTCTAAGGATTTTTTTGTACATAGCAAGTCAAGTTTATTTGACTTATCTGAATGAAAGAAAATATACTCACATGCTCATAGTATAAAAACGTTAAGCATTGCATATTTTGACTCGTTTATAAAAGAAAAATATTGATATCAAATTAACAAATTTTTTAGTAATATGAAAAAATTAGTAAACAATACGAATTTAATGTTTTTTGATTATGATAAATCGTAAATAATTTAATCAATTGTAAAAAGGCAATATATATATATATATATATATATATAAAACATGACATTTTTTAATTTTATCCAAAAAGAAAATCTGATTTGTAAACTCAAATTAACCAGAATTGAGTTGCTTTATTTTGCATTCTATTTTTTTTTTAACCATCTTAACGTAAAGCTGCGATGGAAATGAAGATTATCTGAAAGGATAATGGACACATTACTGATATTAGTCGACTAAAGCAAGCATAAACCACTCAGACTATATTCATAACGTGCAGTATCATTTCAATGAAATGCTATAATTGATTAGAAGATTCCCCCCGAGAGTATCACTAAGCCATATGAACACTGTCCTAATCTGCAGGATAAATAAATAGATATATTTCTGCGCTGACATTATCCCGTCGTGATGGAGTTATTATTATTATTGTTATTATCGCGAGTGGATTCGGATAAACATTTAGGGTGAGTGGTACAACCTGGATCTCCACGTCACCCATTAATGCACTTTGCGTATTTTATTTTGATCTCTTTTTTTTACAACATGTTTTTTTTTTTCTTTATCTGAACTGGATTTGGCACAGCTATAATTTAGCAGTGCAATCAAATACAGATAATTTAAATTCTAACGCTACTGTTTGGTTTCCTGGTGCATTTTGTAACACATCCTTGCAGCGTTAGTTGGTCTGAACTGTCTAAATAGTGCAGCGTTTTGTCTCTTGAAAGCTGGCTGCCTGATAAAAGCATGCATGCATGGTTGGGGCCGGCATAGGGAAAGAAAGGAGAATTTTGAACCCCTATTTTGCAGCAGGATGAGGAGCAAGAGGAGGGGGGATAAGAGAGGGGGGTGACATTCTCAGGTCTAATTGCCATTTCTCTCATCCCCCCTTTTTATTTCTTTTTCCTCGCCCTCTTTCCCCAGGCTCCAGCACCAAGCAATAGGACCGGCCGGCATGAGGTCCCTCTCAGAGGCCGGACTAACCCCTCACAGCTCAGCCGAGTCGCCATCGACCGCGGCCAGTCCCACCACCAGCGTTTCTAGTATGACAGAGCGAGTCGACACCGGGACGTCCATCCTGTCCGTCACATCCAGCGACTCAGAGTGCGATGTATGATACGGCGAGGAGGGGGGGAAAGAAACCAGAAAAAAGAGAAATATTTACAGGGAAAATGGACCCAAGAAGACGAAAAAATGACTTATGAAAAAAGGACCGATTGATATAAATATTAAGATAAAAAGAGATAAAAGCACGTCTTTTTTATTAAAGCGCTTTCAAAGGACCCACGCCTACCCCTCCTCTTCATTCCCCCTTCTCACCAACAACAACACTAGACTACTTGCATGATACTTCTTTTTTATTTTTTTATTTTGTAATCAGGGAAATCAACCTGAATGCAAGATTTTTTTCCCCATCAGGAACCAGAGGGATTAAAAACAGTTCGTCTTGTTTGTTTGTTTTGTTTATTTGTTTTGTTCCTCTTCATCCAAATGATGAAGACGGTGAGGAAGCCGTCGTGCAAACAAGATGCAATCCTGTTTTTTTTTTATAGTTTTATTTTATTTTATTTTTTACTTTTTGTTCATCAGACAATCATTTTTGAGTCGCAAGCACCTTTTTTTCTTAACTACATTTCTGTCACTGCCTGTGTGGGGTATAAACCTGGTCGAAAACAAAAAGAAAGAAAGAAAAAAAAGAATAATCATAATAATGTGTCGAACGGATCCGTTTATGACTGTATCAGATTTTTATTTTTTATTTTCAAAAAGTTTATATTGAATTATGTATATCTCAAATAATGCGATCATTCTCCCGCTCTGTAATATACGTGTAGAAATATGCTTGTACATAATTATTGCTCTTCCCCTTTCCTCCTCCTCCCCTCCGATTGTCATCCTCTTTTCTATCCCCCATGCCTCACTTTTCTTGACTTGGTGTTCCTACATAAATATTTGTCAAACTTACACCTTGAGTGCTGCAGGAGTTTTTGTTGCGTTTATTTTGAATTTCTTGGTGGCTCACTAGTTAGGAATGTTGATCCAATCGACCATCCTGCTTTTTATCCATCTTCTTTTTATTATAAGGCTACAATTCAAATGCACCTTTCAATTTGTCGCACCTTTGTGCATGTTGTCAGTCTTTCCACCCGGTAATGGATAAGGACTGTTATAAGTGGCTAACACATGTTCATATTGGATTATTATTGGATTGTTGGAGCATTAATACCTCTGCGCCCCTGCATGGTGAAGGATGCAGGATAAAGTCGCTTAAGTTGCGAATAGGGCGCAGTCAACAAGAGTTAGAATAACTTTTCTTAAAAAGTTGTAATTTTTTTGAGCAACTAATTAGATTCAGTCTTCACTTGAGATAAATCGACTTGTACAGATATTAACATATTGACGTTTTGTCTTTAAAAAAGTAAGATATTTCCACCTTTGTGTTTATCGTCGCTGCTGAATACAGAAATTAAGTAAACGCGCCATTAAATGGGCTAATCACGAAGGGGACTCCTCCCCTGTCCCAATCTCCTATTGTGGCTCCTGAAAAGAGCTTTTCTTCCTCAGACGAGAAGCATTTCCCCCCTCCACAAAAAAGCCTCCCTCCCCTGCAGTCCATTTCCAACCAAAATCCCCAACCAATTATTATGTCGGTACTGGGGAGCAGATTTGCAACTACAGGACACTGTTACGCGGACATTTTTTTTATTCATCTTGTTGGTAACCCTTTCTGAGAGATAGGAGGCAGCGTTTGAGTGCTGCAGACGACAGAAAGTGGGACGAAGGAGCTGCTTTTTTTTTGAGGATTGCAGAAATTTAAGCCTATGGGGCAAACATCATCAGTTATTTGATCTTGCAGGTTTTTTGTGTTCTGTATTTTTGGGGGGAGATTTTGCTTGACAGTTAAAAGTGTTTTGCTTTATACTGTGCAGAAACACATACCTGGGGCCTGTTGTGGTTTCAGAGAGCAGGAAGATATGTTAATTGTTTTAGGATGTCAACTTTGTGCAAATCCCTAAAGCTTATGGGTTTGTTTGCGTAAAAGCAGACGCTGCAAATGACACTTCCCAGTTTTTTTTTATAATAAACATAAACAATATTTCAATATTAAGGATTTGCATTGCAAAGGGTAAGGTAAATATTATTATTTTTTTGAAATTATAGATTTTTATTTTAACATAATCTTTGCAGTTTGTCAATATTTAAACAGTGTTTAATCCTGAAATATGTTTAAATGTAGCTGTTTATATAATGATTGCCATAAAATGTGTTAGGTTTTTTATGTGCATCTAAAACACACATTTTAAGATACAAATGTGCTGAAAAAAGGGGCAACAAAAGTTATTTACATATACCTAAAAAATAAGTTAATGTCTTTAACTAAAAAGCTGCTTCATCGCTATAGTAAAGTAATAGAAAAAAATCCTAAAAAAGTGCGGTCCAAAGCAGGAGGCTGAGTGAACGCGATACTGTTTAATAAAAGGGGCCAAAGGAAGCCTAAAAAACCTGCTGCTTGTGTGAAAACAAACCTTTCCATCTCCCGTCTGTTGCAAATGAACAAAAGCTTGTTCATATTTTAAATCTAAAATCAGCCTGGCTGTCAGAGACAGATAGGTCCTATCAGTCTTATCGCGCAAACAGCCCACACCAGAACCGACCTCGCTGCTTCCTTTACAACTTTTATTGGCTGCGACAAGTCTCTCCTTTGATTTGGTTGAAATGAATCGTGAATTGAAGAGCATATTAATCAGTAAAGAAGGACACGAGGATTAGGACAACATCTGATAGATGGGACAGCAGATAAGAGCTCATGAATACAGAAAGGCGCAACATTATGCAAAGTTCTGGAAAACCCATCTTAGATGCGCACTGGTTGTCTTTCAAAACATATCGATGCAATTACTTTGAAATAAAATAATAAAAATAGCCTTACACTAATCCCTGAAATAGATTCCAATTCCTCTTAAACTGGAGCATTTGAATGAGGCGAATCAACGAAATAATATTTGGCTTTAGAAAGATTTCCCCACACTGCAAAAAAAGATCTAGAAATAAGCAAACATTTCCCCTTAAATTGAAAAGGTAAATAAAAGGATTTGCCTATGGAATACGCATGTTTATTCGTAATATAAGATAATTAGATATAATGCAATTGTTTTTTCTTATTTTAAATGTAAATTGTCTTGTTCCATTGTCAGAGTGTCTCACTTACCTCCTTAATTCAAGAAAAAATGCGCTTATTTTAAGAAAAAAAGAACTTATTTAGATTTTTATTTTATTTATTTTTTTTCAGTGCAATTTGAGAATGAGTAAACGCGTAAAGGGGAAACTTATTAACAGGTACGCGATTGTTCTCGGTGTAAACATACAGTATGTAGGCCAGAGCAGCAGCAGCAGCAGCAGGGGCAAAAAGCGCTGCAAGTGTGAGCCTATCTGTTGCTGGCCGGGGTCATTAATGACGGGGGAGCTGTTGTTCGTGATCTGCCAACTCAAATATGGATCACAAGACAAAAGGAACTTAGCGGAGAGTAATCTCTGTGTGTGATACTTACAGAGAAAACGAGAATGTGAGAGAAGTGCGGCATTGACATGTTTTTTCTCCACTAATATTCTGCGCACCCTGAAGTTGTTTTTTTTTTTTTTCAAACTGAAAGTCAACATCCTTCAAAAATATGTTTTCCGATTTTTAAGAGCGAGACAATCTCAGTTTAAGGCTTTTCTGTCTGTTTATATTGACGTTTGTGTGCAGGGCGGTGATCCGCTTAAAGATCAAGCTTCTCATTCCTCATTTCCTAAATAGATACATATATATTTTACTAAATTCTGTCCATTTCCATTGAGTGATAAACAAAGTGCTGTATTTTCAAGCAGCATCAAAACAAATGGGAGTTATATAGACAAATAAATTTAATATTTATCTTCAAAAACTGAAGAGAAACTGAAGAGAAACACCTGCCTGTGCAACAAGAAATGGGAAACCAATCAAACGATAACTCCTCCTACTGTATACTTTCTCAGACCTGAAGCTTTTCTCCTGACAGATATAACTTAACAGCTTTTTATTCCTGATCTTACCTCCTGCTCCTCAAGATCATCAAAATCCATCCCTTCTAATGTCAAAAACATTTGCAGCCATAAGCCAATTCTCACAAAAGATCAAGAAGACATAGAAAAAAAGTCTACGTTAATTACACATTTACATTTTCATCTATTAAATCCAGGCTCTTCTCTTTCACCCTTGGAAAAAATGACAGCTCCTGTTTTTCTTCTTCTTCTTTTCTTGTTAGGAAGAAGGATTGCATCATATTTTACAGAGAAAATTTGATATATTTTTATGTTTTTCTGCCAGGGTAAAGTTGTTAAATGAGTATGTTTAGGAAGTAATACCAGATGAAGTTTAATTTCTCATATGACAGATGTAGCATAAGCTGAGAGTCCTGGTTTTATTTTACACAGCCATACAAAGAAAGAAGGTCCTCACCTCAGAACAGAAACAAAACAAACAAAAAACATAAAAAGACACCTGTTTAGGTCCATTGCAGGGCTTTTATTCAGTCTATATAATAAATTGAGACGGACAAAGTTTTGATCCATTAGCAAAATCCTTATGGGGGTCAGTTATATGTGAAGAGTGGGAATGCATGTTTGGGCCCCATGAAGATGTGTGTAAAAATGTTGGTCAGTGATTTAAAACCTTTATCTTTTGCTTCTTGTTATCTATAACTGTTTTAGGTAGATCAACAAGTAGTAGAACTTTTAGCAGTAATTGGGCAGCAAACAAATATTCACCCCTGCTCACTTAATAAATGCGATGATGGCCCCCAAATAACTTTGTTTTGAGCCTCATTCCATCTTGATCCGCCTCTGCAGAATACAGCCCTGAAAGAGAATGAAATAGAAGCTTACTGGTCAATCAGTTACTGATATGCTCCATTTTCTTTTACAGGGCAGCTGGGATCATATACTCTCTGTTTCAGGTCATGTGTGTGTATGTGTGTGTTAGTAAAGGAGAGAGACTGGGGGGCTGGGTGATGTTTGTCAGGAGTTACTCCAGTCCAATGCTTATTAGTTTGGACTGCCAATGCTCAAGCTTCATCTTTTTAAAACAAGCATAACATGAAAGCAAACCAAATCACGCTTACTCAAGCGAACAAGACCAGCCCTTCAAATTTACACAAACTCATGCATGCAGACGCACAAACACAGGTTTTCCACATGCACGCCAGCAGCTTTGCTCACGCAGCACATATGGAGCTTGTGTGTGTGTCTGTGTGGGGGGGAGTTGGGGTTGCTGGCTGTGATCTCTCGCCTTGTGCACAACGAGTGGACAGAGTCGCTGAGCAGCCTAAACAGAGCCATAGCACCTGTGATTGCTGCAACCGTTCTCAGACCTTCTGGCACAGCAGCACGGATGCACTGAGACCTTTTACTCTCCATGTGGAGGATGTCGAAGACAAAGAGAGGGGCTGTTTATCTTTATTAACACAAATTCTCTTCAATTGTATGATGCAGTACTTTTTTCTGGTAGAAGAGCCAGAGTGGCTCCACCCAGGGAGGGCCAAAAGGAGGGAAATGCCCAAACCAAAACAATTCCCCTGCTAAAGATTGTTATGCTTAATTTTAATAAAAAGTTTATTAAAAGAAATCAATAAATACAGTTTATTTATCAGTTTATGTAGAAGTCATTTTTTTGTTCATCATATCCTTGAAAATTTGAAATGTGTCACTTACTTCCATCCCAACTCCCCTCCCTGTATTTAACGACAGCATTCTGAAATTCTGGCCCCCATCTGCTCCCCTTATTGCAAACATGCTGGAGGCACTCCTGGTGGGCCAATGTTTTATTTAAAGTAGAGTTAATACAAAATTTCTGCTGCAACTTCATAGTCTTAAGATAAATAAACAGCCTATACTTACATTAAATCAGTTGTATCATTATTATTAATATAACAGGTAGCATGGCCTTAGTTCCCCTTTTGTACTTGCATTGTGGCAAG